TTTTCCTAAAACCTTTTACTAAGTGTATTAAATCTTTGGTGGTACAGAAACTATGCCCTCTACTTTGACATCTTCAACTCTATAGTGTCACCACTGCATTCCAATCCATCCCTGAAGTGTGGTTTTCCTTGCTAGCCTTTTTAAAATATTATCATTATTATTATTATTTATTTTTTTAGCCTGTTTATTAACTGCTTGCTGCTCTGACATTGTCTGCTGGTATACTCAGTGTTACAAGATGATATCCAAGACTCCGTCTTGTAAGTTGGGGATCAGCGCTTGTCTTGTTGGGTACTGCTGCTGCCACTGCCACCTCTATTTCTGCTGCTGTTACTGCTCCTACTGCTGCATCTGATTGATGACATGCTACTGTGCCCCCTAACTGCTCACCATCTGCCACCACCTTGAGCGTCCTTTTAATTCTGGTGCTTGTTGTTGATCGCTCTATGGTCTGACACATGGCGGTGCCCACATGAAGGACATTAAGACCACAAAGTCTCTGCAATAGTTGTCTGTCTTGGCACTAATGACTTAATATATTGTCAGAGAACCTCAAGCAAGGCTTTATACACCTCGTGGGCAGCCACTGGAAAGCAATCTGTCACCTCTGACTTGCTGTCATACCCCCTTTTATTTAGTAATGTAAAGTTCAGCTGTTTAGAGTTCAATGGCACATCTGGTTTAAGAGCTAATGCATTAATAAAGACATTCCCTTTGTGTACTACAACCTGTCATTCCTCAACTGCTTTGAACTTTTTCAAGCGAAATTGCCTTCACCGAAACCACTGGGATTCACACAATCTGTCCACAGGCATTGAACTAACCCTTCACTCTTGTGGTCTTTACAGCATAAATCCTGTTCACTCCCACTCTATTACAGAGACAGCTGTTTTCGTACCATTGCTACTAGGCAACATTTACAACAATACCAGTGTGATACCCATGTCTGTTTACCCATTTTCAAGGTCAACCACCCCCACTTTACCATTTCCTCAGATTGTAAGACACAGATGGGAACAATCCCATCGATCATCTTTGCACATGCAAGCTTACTAAAATTATTGCTCTCTGCTTCAATTATTGCCAGTTTTTCCAGTAGAACTTTATCTAATTAATCATATATACTTAACAATATTGTCACCTGTATCAATCATTTCCTGTATTGGTGAAACTTTCCTTAAAATGTGGGACTGTGGAACTTTGTCCACCCAATACTTAAATTCCCAGAGGTGCTCAAGCCGTGTTGGAGTTATAGCAGTAGTTTACAAGGGTAACTAAAACTGTGTTCCATTTACTCCTGGTTTATTTCACTCCTTCAAATTGCTAACATTCAACATTCAGTGTGAATTTTCTGGTCTACTGGTTTTTACTCTTGGTGTATCTATAAACTCCCTGCAGCTGTCTTATCAATTCAATTCAAAACCCCAGCAATCATATCACCTCCTATGAGAAAGCGCTTTGGCAACAGTGGGAAGGAAAAACTTTCTTGTGGTGGCCGCAGCACAATGTGCCAGGTTTTGTCACAACGAAAGTCAGTGTGAGACATGGTGAGCATAATGGCCACATTAAGGCACAACCCCCACTAGGGTTTAAATACCTGGGACTCTCCACCATTTGATTTGGTGAGTTCTAAGTGAGTGGTAACAAAATCTTGCTAATTTTCAGAGGGTATACATACCATGTTACGGTCATAAAAACTGAATGTGAGCAGAGCAGCAGTTTGAAATTGACTGGTTAAAATACAGTCATAATGGTCCTCATATACTCATCATCTCATGTTGTTTCTTTGTTTGTCAGAAACATTAAATATGTAAGTCAGAGGAACTTTAAGAGACGCTAAGCAGAGACAAAGTAAATATGACTTCAACTTTTGGAAGAATTCAAGTCTGATATGTCATTTAGCATGCTTCATACAACTGTGCTTTATTTAGCACAGTCACACACTTGACAGTTAACTCACACCTATGATCTCATAGGCCTGGACTGAACCACTGACTTTCCCAGTATATAATCTCATTTGCCTCAGTATTTCAGTGTTTTAACTTCATAATTGGACATATTTTTATTTATAAACAAATGCCATTTATTATTTTTTGAGGTTTACATTTGGTGATAATTTCAGTTACTCTTGATACTTGAAACCACAACTAAAATTGCAGCTTGCACTCTCAATTATTAACACTCGGTTGATACAGAAAATGACATAAAAGTTGACAATCTATACAGGTTGCAGAGACATGTCAACTGGCTGTTCGACGGCTAGAATGGCTTCAGAGTGGAGGAGAGAAAACGTTGCAGGACGGACACGCAGATAAAAACCCCTACTGCTCTGTAGACCCAGCCCCTCCAGCAGCAAGGAAGAGCGTGCCAGAGCTGCGCTCCGCACTGCTGGATGAAAGCCTGCCACTCTTTGACCGCTACCGTGCCATGTTTGCCCTGCGTAACCTTGGCACTGAGGAGGCTGTGTTGGCACTAGGAGACGGTAAGGTCCAACTTTATGGTAAACAATTATGTGAACATTTATTTCACTCAGCAGTCATCGTTAATCTGATAATACTACATGCAAACTATGGTTCTAGAACACTCAAGGAACTTGAAGATGTCGTTACTGAGCACCTAATAAAATATATGCATATATGAAAGTCAGTAACTGTAAATCCTTGTGAAGTATAAAAATAAGTATGTAGAACTACGCAGATGGAAATTAATATGTGCATCCGATTCTGTTTGCCTCCAGGCCTGCAATGCTCCAGTGCTCTGTTCCGTCATGAGATTGGCTATGTTCTGGGGCAGATGCAGCATCCAGCAGCAGTCCCAGCCCTCCGTGCAGCTTTGGAGCGTTCCAACGAGAACCCCATGGTCCGGCACGAGGCAGCGGAGGCTCTAGGCTCAATTGGCAAAGACGAGTGTCTGGCCGTGCTGCAGCGTTACCGTGAAGACCAAGAGCGTGTTGTCAAGGAGAGCTGTGAGGTTGCACTTGACATGCTGGAGTATGAAAACAGTGGACAGTTCCAGTATGCAGATGGATTGGTCAGGTTACAGGGTTAATTTTTAATTATTTAGGTCAGTACTGAGGTCACCTTGTGTTTAAAGGTAATTAAACACAATTTGTTGCTAACAGTAATATTTTCTTTACTTCAATATAGCTAAGTTGAAAACCAAATATATTTAAAAAAACAAAGGGTGGAACATGGATAATATAGGGTCATCCACCCTAATAGCCTGTGCCTTTGACCAGCTGCTGCTCTTGCCCCATCATTCAGCTGCTCCTTCAAATCATCCCCAAGTACAAATATGGAGGAGAAGCTGCCCAGCCAACAGCAACATTGGGAGACGTGCACAGAAGCAATGGAGTGAGTAAAGAAGGACTGCTATAACAACCAGCCAGCCTCTGTTGTATGGCACCAGAAACAGACTGGTGATCAGGAGATGAATGAGTGTGGTTTGTTGGGTCCTAAATTTTAAAGCCAAAGTAATCAACTCTATCCAGCTTGCATATTGAGTTTTTTTTATGTCCAACTAAAAATCAGCCCACTCAAAAAGATCATCTGGAAAAGAGCAGAGTTTGTTTATTGAATGGAGTCATATAAACGATAAAACAGACTGTCACAACCAACAGAACAGCAGGACAACACAAAGCAGTGCAACCCCAGGCTATAGAGCCTTCCACATATTCACGTGCAAAAGACAAAACAACACAGAAGAGAAGGCAAAACAAGAAAATGGGGCAGAAAAGCGTGGCAAAGAGAGAGCGAACCCTCCGGACCCTCTATTTTATTGAGTAAGGACCCTCTGCTCAATCTGAATTCATCCTGCATTGTGCTTCTACAGTTTGATGCAAACTTCTCATTTTAAACTGTCTGCTACAAGCATTCGTGGTGTGACGTAGACCTTGATTTGTCGTGCTTCTCTTGGTACTTTGCTCCTAAATTACCATGGAGCACAGCTTGCAGTTTAAATGTAAATTTTTTTGTTATTTACAGTCAACTGTATAAAATTAAAATGATCTTACATACTAATGTCTCTCCTGAGTTTCACGAAGACCTTCTTCCCTCAAGTCCTACAACTCAAATTCTCATAACTGCTTGTGGTTTTGCACATCAGATAATTAAAGCTTTATTTGTAAGCATCAGTAAGTAAGCAATAAAGTACAGACTTCATGCCAAATAAAGAATCCTTATTATCACGCCTGTCAGCGTAGTCCAGAGTAGGTCTATTAAGACATGGATGAGTGAGTTTGGTGTGTAAGAACTTCACCTGCACAGAGTCCCGATTTCAACCCAATCGAACATCCCTGGGATGAATAAGAGCAGAGACTGCAAGGCAGGCATTTCTCACAAAGCCCTTTGGTGCTGCAGGTGAACACTATCCAGGTACAAAAGGACAAATGTGAGTTGTTGGCAACTTGTACCACTGTTGCTGAATTTTGGAAAGTGATTTATGTCTAGGTGTAGATTTGTGTTGATGTTTAATTAATGGAAATTCCCTGCATCCTTAAAACTACAGAATCCAATTTGTCCAAATTGTCGAGATTTAAAGTGGATTATATAGACTAGGTATATTAGAATAGACCACATACTTGCAGTAAAACAGCCATTTAGGCTTTAAAAAATAAAAATACAACTCAAAATATTTTATACATAAAATGGATAATATAATGTATCTATAAAATGTTTATATAATGTTTTATATTCAGTCGGGCACATTTGTTTTTGATTGTTAGTTAAATATTTTAAAATGTACGTATTGATCTTTCAGTGGTTTTTAAAAAAATTCTTTTTAATAATTCTTATTAATTAAACAATAATAACAAGAAGTATGATGTCTTGTATTCATTATGACGGTATAGTTTTAATTTTCCAAACACATCCTGGTATCGGATAGCAAAGGCAAGCAGTGGTGTCGCACATCACTAACCGCCAGGGTGCATCCGCGAGCCTAGCAACCAGAGCCCTCTGTTAGCGAGCGCCACCGTTACAGTAACTATAGCAACCCTTGGAGTCTGTATACGGCGGTACATTGAGAAAGCGGTAAGACGAAATTTTGGAAGTCTTTTCCACGCTTGTATAAACCGTTACTCTGTCCATACCTCAGACGTAGTTGACGAACGATGGACGGAAAAGAGGAGAGAGTGCAGTCAGCTGCCGCGTTCAAGTCTTATATGTTGAAAAACAGCACAAAGAGCAACCTGAACCTGTAAGTTACCTTTTTATAGTACTAGTTAGTATCTGATGCTCTCATGACCTACTTGTCTGTTTGTTAATTTATTTCAATCATGTAAACAATGTGCACAAGTTCATTTAGAAAAGAAAAAAAAGCTATACAAAATAAAGCCAATACATTTCAACATTGCTTCACCGGTTCTGATTCAGTTACATATCGAAAGCAGTGGGAAGAAGTGCACACTTATTTAATCCCACCCATTCGCAATACGTTATCGGTCAATATTTAATCAGCTTCCTTGCTGATGTAATCTAAGTTATAATAATGAACACATTTATAATATAATATGATATTTACACCAAATCGTATCATTATGTTTTGTGATTCCATAGCTTTGCCTCCACACTACAAGACCAGTACCTCCATTTTTGAAAAGTTAGCTGTACAATGCAATAAGCATGAATAAACTTTCCTAAATAGAGACATTCACTGAATTTCAACATTCTCCCTTTCTTTATAACTCCTTTGCTTAATTCGATGTTATTTGATCTGTGATCCAAATGTAACTATTAACATATATGCAAAAATGTTTGAAACATGTTAAAGCTGTATTGGCACCAGGGCATTATCGGGCTATGGATAAGATTTTGTAATGATATCCATAGCTGTATAACCCCTAGATCTAGTTCATTCTGATTTCACTGAGTTTCGTTTCCTTCCGTGTCCTGTTTGACTTGGTCTCTGTGGATCCTCCCCAGCAATCCCCTATGTGTAGCATGTTATGTCTGGTTGCGAATGTCAAGTTTTTGTCTCTGTCTTGTCTCCATGTCTCTCTCCCTCTTTCCCTGTCATTCTCTCTCTTGCTCTCTCTCTGTCTTCACTTTCTTTGTGTTTGTCTTCCTAGTCTTGTCTCTGTGTCGCCTCCCTGCATTCCCTTTATTTAGTCAGTCTTGTCTCTGTTTGTTTCCCTTGTCTTCCTGTGTCTGGCCTCTGTCTGTTTGCAGTTTTATTTTGATAGTCTCTAGTGTTATGTGTATCATGTTCAGTGTCGCTTTCCTTGTCTCTACAGCAAAGAACATTACTAATAAATACTGGTTATAAAGAACCTTAAGCACACTTTTATCATTTGATTTGTAATGCCATTATACAATAACGTTCTGCATTCTTCAGTTTCTCCTCCCCTTTCATAAAGGATGGTCCAGTATGCTATGCAGAGGATGCAAGCATTAAAGCACTGAAGCTTAGTATTTGAAGAATACTATTATGTCCTCCATGCAGATACTTCCATATCACGTCTGTTAGTTAGGAACCTTCCTAAGCAAAATTGGCTATTTGAACGCATATTGGGTTTCTGTATGTGTGTGTGTTAGTTCATGTATTATTTCTTTATTTCCTGTCTCGTTAATTCCGAGTTGTTTGCAGCTATCTTTCCTGATGTTTACCACCTCCCTAATTACTTACTGTGTGTATATATTGTCTCAGTTTTCCGTCATCTGATGATCTCTGATGATCCCTCGGGATAAAACCCCCATAGATGGTGGTCTGATTAGTAGATGTACGCTCACGGCATCCTGAGCCACAACCACTGGAACTGGTGTCTGTGACTTATTTAGTGACACAAGAGCTTCTTTTTCACTCTAATTAAATTCTGGCTAAATTTTTGCATGTTAACTAGTATTGTGCTGCCCATGTGAGTTGCCAGGGGAAATGCACCTTTAGAGGTGAGAACTTCAAAACTGTTGCAAGACCAAATTTTGCAGCATTTAAAGATGCAGTAAAAAGAAAAGGCAGTTTAGATGAAATAATACAGCAACACAACAGAATAGTCTCATGAAAAACCTTTGACAAAATGTCTTGTGGAACCATATGGCATCTGTGTATTAATATGTGTGCTAATATGTACAACTAAGATTTATAGGTTGATATGTACCAAACTGTGTAACTGATGTTCTAGTTATGACCACCTCACTCGCTTGCTGACGAAGTTGATGGATGAGCAGCCACAAAATCCAGTGGATGTGATAGAGGATATAAGCAGTGATGTAAAACGGGGTTTGTTAGAAGAGATGCAGAGCACTCTGCAAGATCTTCCAGAGACTACAGCTGATGTGGAGCTGGCTAAGCAACAGCGCCTGCTCTTTACTCGGCCAAAAGATGTGGATCACGAGGAGGAACTGGTATTGACCACACACACCTACACTGTTTGTTCTACAACTTTTATATACAGCAATCTGTCCCTTTGTTAAATGCTAAGGTGATGGATATGAGGTTAGGTTGTGGATCCGTTCAATTCAGTTTTATTTATATAGTGTCAAATCACAACAACAGTTGCCTCAAGGCATTTTATATTGTAAGGTAGATCCTACACCAATTCAGAGAAAAAAGAGAAAACCCCAACAATCATATGACCTCCTATGAGTAAGTGCCTTGGCGACAGTGAGAAGAAAAATCTCAGTTTTAACAGGAAGAAACCTTGAGCAGAAACAGGCTCAGGAAGGGATGGCCATCTGTCATGACTGGTTTTGGATGAGGTGAGGAAGACGGAATCAAAGACATGCGGTGGAACAGAGCCAGAGATTATTAATAACTAATAATTCACTGCGATTGAACTTCACCAGGGAAGTGTGTTTGCCTTGCTCCGTTTCAGGTTTTTTCCTCACCATCAGAAGTTCTTGGTACAGGTTGGACTGTAGAAAACATGAATAACTGTCACTTTTCATCAGCTTTAAGATGTGGTGCTATCCTATGCTTCTTCATAGCTGTGATGTCCAGGGTCATTCAGGTTTTGACTGGTGCATTTGTAGCTGTGGGAGTCCAGGTTGATAGAGCTGGGCACTCCATCTGCCCAGATGTCCTGCGGCCTCTGTGCAACTTCCTGTTGAGGCCTCTTCTTTAACCCCTGTACAACCAGCCAGCGCCTGAGCTTTTCTGGGCTAAACTCAGATTCTAGAAACTTGTCCTGCTGGATCTTTTAAGGCCTCCTCTAGGGAGAAGCCCCACTTCACCCTTTCTTACTGAGCTCCTTACTAGCCTCCAAATCCCAGAAAGTAGAGTCATCACTGGTCTAGGGGTTGGATGGTTCTGGTGATGTCAAATGGGTGATACTCCAAGTACTAGTCAGTGTATGACAGAAGACAGAGGAAAGAAGAGAACGAGGCATTAGTTTGTCATATTTTTAGAGACAACAGTGACATGCTGACCATTAGAGATTGTTAATGAAAATATTAATATTGAGCTACATCGTTTTCTGCAGTAAATCCTCAGGTTGTATGAAGGTGAGAAAAAAATACATAGCCTCTTCTCTCTATAGCGGCAATATCCTTCCAACCCTGCAATGCATAAAGTTCATTATATGTAGTTATAACTTTTTAATTGACATTTTGCAATACATGAGAATTTGAACCATATACATAAAAATAAAAAACATTAAAAAAAACGCAGATACTTCATTCACTAGTTTTTGATGCTTCAATGAGCTCTTTAGAAGGATGTTCTTTTCCAAATGTCTGTAAAGGCAGCCTGCTTCATTAGGTGATTGATTTTATACACCTCTGTAAATGGGATTGAAGAATGTGGATTTTAACTTATATGCTGTTTTTGTGTACAGATTTCCAGCTCTTATGGTGAAAATGAGGATTTATTGCCATTACACCTAAAAATTAATCAGTAAAGTGTCATCCTTCATTGGGGGAAAGGAGTTGCTACAAGTTGTGTTAAACTAAAGTGCTAATCCTAGTGCTAATCAAGGTGGTTAAAACTGTAGAGTGAACATCATCAGACTCCTTCCTAGTGTTTCTATGCAGGATATTGACTTTGTGGACAGTAATAGGTCATAATAATAGTTTTTTTGTATGTGTATGGGCTTTGTGGAGCACGGAGTTTCTGCCTGTAGTATTTTACTTAACACATTTGTAAGATATTTTGTACTCCAGCTGAATTTAATCCAATGACTCTTATATTATATCTTTAATAACTCTTTTAATTTCTTGGGAACTTTATGTTTGTATTACTTGTTCAGTATATAAAACTGAATTTGTATTGTGTAACACAGCTTATTGGTCTTTTTAGGTGGAAACACCTCTT